GGGAGCGTGAGCTTCCCATGAAGATGAATTGGGGGACCAAGTGACCCGCAAGCTCGATCTAGGTCTTTGGTCCCTGTGGTTTCCCACTGACAGGACACACAAAAAAACCAAATCTGAGGATGTCAGATGAGATGAGGACTGGCGACCAGGAAGGGCTTCCCAGTCCCTGGGGAGATGTGTTAGGTGCAGGGACTTCTCTCTCCTTAGAGATTTTCAAGCTGGAAACTAGTTGGTGTGTAAGGAAGGGGTTGGGCTGAAGCCAGGGCAAGAAGCCTGGCTGCTCCCACTTCCTGCACTTTGTCCTTTTTCCAGTTTTAACCTCTGACCTTCTGCTGGCCTCAGCCCCCACCCCTGTCCCCAACTCCCATTGTATTCCCTGCTCTCAGCACCGCGCCTCCAAATTCACTTCTCTCTTCTGCTACCCCAAAGGGAGGGAGAGGCCAGGGCAGCAGGAAGAGGGGGAAAAGGGGAAAACCAACTGCTGAGCCAGTCCTGGGGAGCGAGGGGAAGCCCAGGGAGGAAGGAAGAAGGGGAGTAAGGAGCGGGGGTATTTTGGAAGAAGAGAAGGCTTTTCTTGTCCCAAGAGAGAAGGGAGCACTGTCTAAAGCAGTGGCCCAGCTGGGGGTGTGCAACCCTGAGGTCACCCACTTCAAATGGCCTCTGTGTGCGCCTCTCCCATGGAGCAGACTCGGGGTTCAAAAGTCTTCTCTCTGCTCTCCAGCCCTATTCCATTCCCCCGCCCCCACCCTAGGACGTCTCCTCGTTCAGCTCTGGCCTCTCTCTGCCTTGGGATTGAGACCTTCCTCCACTCACTTCTCCCTGCCATTTCTCCCTAGAACCCCAAAGCCACCCCCGTGTGCCTCTTGAGGCTTCCTGCCCCAACATTCACTCCCTTGGAAGGCTGTATGTGCTTTCAACCTGATGACCCTGCTCTCATAGATTCTAGGCTGTAGCCTTGGTTCAGGTCTCCCACCAGAAGGGCTGTGTTCGGTCACAGACTCAGAGGAAAGGAAGGGGAGAAACGGGGCGGCGGGAGGGGGTGTGGGGGGAGCTGAGGGGGCGGGGAGGGTGGGACCCAGAGCCTGAGGGAATGAAGAGCGAGCAGCCTGGGCACACCCCGTGAGACACACCCAGGGGCAGCCCTTGATTTGGGGCAGGATCCTTGGGCTTGGAAATGAATGGAAAATGAACTCTATAAGAAGGAAGGGTGTGTGTAGAGGAGGAAGGGTGGTGGCAGGAATTAACAAGAAAGAATAGAGGAGGGCAAGAATACAGGGATATAAAAAAGAAAGGAGGCAGGCTAGAGAGAACTGAGGAGCGGACTTCTGAGAAGTCTGGCTTGGCTGCTCCCTACCTGTTTGTGGTGCCTTTCAGGGGACCCCTTGGCAAGGCAGCTGCGGCTGAGGCGGAGGTAGCCCCCCAGAACCAAGATCTCCTCGGCAGTCGGGTACCGCTTCTTCCCGGCGCCAGGGACTGCCGCATCAGCTGTGGCCGGGGTGGTGGGAGTGCTGGGGGCTGCAGGGGGCACGGACCGCCGGGGGTTGACTGTGAAGGTGTGTCCACTGCGGCGAGGGGCCCCCACCCCTGGCCCTGCCTTCACCCCATAGAACAGACGGTTCATGAGGGGATCCCCAGGGGGCTGGGGGGCAGGTGGGGCTGGGGGTGGGGGAGACAGAGGGGCTGCTGGTGGGGGCCGGAGATCCACTGCTTCCTCTTCCTGCCTTCTAGAGCCTCCAGTCCCAGCGTGCTCTGGTGGGAAGGGGGAGGGCACAGAGCTGTAGTTCTGCAGGGTTCTCCAAGGCCTGCCCTGAGCCCCCGCCTTCTCCTTCTCAGCCTCCCCTTCTCCAGCCTCGGTACCAAGAGGCCCCAGATACTTCTCAGCAGACTCTGGGGGGACTGGTTTCTGAGTTTGAGTCTCTGTGTCCCTGGGTGTCCATTCTCGAACCTTTCCAGAGTTCAGGGTCCATTTCCATCCTTCTGTCAGCCTCAGGCCCCTCTCACCATCCTCCACAGGGCTGGGCCTTTGCTCTGCTGCCTCCACTGCTCCGGAGCTGCTGTCTGGAGCCTCCCTTGTCAGGGTCTCTGGCAGCTCTGTAACCTCTTCTGAGGCCAGCCTTGGAATTGGTCTCTCTTCTTTTCTCCCACATTCCTCTGAACCGTCTTTTCTTTCTTCTTCTGAGCTCAGCCTCCACTCTGATGCCTCCAGTTGTACCAAACTCTGTTCCTGAGACTCTCCAGAGTCAAGCCTCCATTTATGGGACTCTGTCAGCCCCAACTTCTGGTTGTCAGACTCTGCTGGGCTCAGTCTACTTTCCACCACCTCTTTTCTCCTGGGGCTTTGTTCTCCAGGCTCTGCCAGTCTCAGACTCCACTCTGGAGTTTCTCCGGGGCTCAGCCTCCATTTCCGGGCCTCTGACAGTCTGGAGCTCCTGTCTCCAACCTCTCCTGGGCTCTGCCTCCAGTCCAAAGCCTCTGAGGGCCTGGGGCTCAACTCTCGGGCTCCCCCTATCCCCAACCTCCTCTCTCTGGCCTCCCTGGGACTGAGCCGCTCTTCTTTTGACTCTCTTCCCTTGGGGCTCTGATCCCGCATCTCCCCAGGGCTGGGTCTCCGCTCCCGGGCCTCCAAAGGCCCAGGCCTTCTCTCTGCAAGTAACTCTTCATTCCGCTGCTGCTGCTGCTGCTGCTGCTGCTGCTGCTGCTGCTGCTGTTGCTGGCGCTCCTGCCGAATGAATCGGTTCTGGTGCACCGGCCCAATGGCCTCTAGGAGGACGGCCGACTCATCTGGGTCTGGAGGCCCAACCTCTGTAGTCCCAGGTGCAGGGCTAGCTTCTCCAGGAGACAGACCAAGCTTGGCCCGGCGGCGCTCCAGGAGCCCCCGCTTCCAGGCTGGCATCTGGGACAGACGCTCCCGTTCTGCCTTCTCCCGGCCACGAAGGGCTGCCTCCTCCTGCCGGCGCCGGGCTAGCAGCTGTAGCTTCCAGTCTGGGATGGTGGCCATGGTCGCGCTGAGGTGAGGGTGGGGAGTGCTGGGGCCAGACAACAGGAAAGAGAGGCTCCAGGGGGTGAGACTGGGGGTGGGGGGAGAGGAAGTAGAGGGGGAGAGGTGGGACACAGAGATGGGCACAGGAGCTGAGGGTAAAGACAGACGGAAGGAGTGAGAAGATGGAGGGCAAAGAAAGGGGAAAACAGAAAGTGAAAAAGCTGTGGGCCAAGTGGGGGTGGGGTCGTGGCCCTGAGAGGAAGAATAGAGATTCGGGGCAAAAAGGCAGGAGTCAGATTTGGCAGCGCAGGGTTAGTGGTATCAGAGACAGTCCCAAGGATGTGAGAGGAGAGGAGGGCGGAAAAATAAGTCGTAATGAGAGAGGAGAGAGAAAAGAGAGGTCGGGGGTGAGGGGGGTAGGGTTCAGGCGAGGTTTCCCCACCGTTACCCCAGAGGCGGTTAGAGTGGGAAGGGAGATCAGGGAATCCCGCCCGAGAGGGGGTGGTGGGACCTGAGGGGGTGTCGGGGAGGTGAGGAGGGGCGGGGAGTGGAGAGGTCTAGGGGAGCAGGGGAATCAGGGGGGCAGAGGGGAAATGGAGCTCCGCGGGCGCCCGGGCGCGTCTCAGCGCGGGCTCCGGAGGTCCCGGCTCCCCTCCCAGCTCCGCTCCGGCCACGCCTCTCCGGCCCCCCAGCCACCACCCGGCACTCCGCCCCCCGGCAGCTCGGGGCGGGGGGGGGGATTACCCTCCCTTGGGGACTTTCGGAACCCGGGTGTCTGGGCTGCCAGCACGTTCCCAGAACCCTGGCGTCCACCCCCACCCCGTCCCGTCCCCGCCGCCTGCCTCCCACCGGCCGGGCCCGGGGCCGTGGCGTGCGGAGGACCCGCTCCACGGCTCTGCTCTCCCGAGCCTGCCAGTCCAATGCCCGGGTCTCCGCTCTCAGGGAACCCTGACATAGCCGGCCATTCCCACCCAGCTCGGACCGCTCAGACAGGCAATCTCGGCACAAAGAGGAGACAGCCCAAGGTCCGGGCCGGGGACAGGAGACAGGAGACACCCCCTCCCCAAGTCTGAAGCCCCTCAGTCAACTCACAAGCCAGCGGGGCTCCTAGGGGAGGGGGTGCGGAGGAGCCTGGCGTCCGGAGGGAGGAGGAGAGAGGAAGAGGAGGAGAGTGGGACCGAGGGAGATCCGGAGACAGGAGGGAGGGGAGGAGGGAAGGAGAGGAGGAGGAGGGAGAGAGGGAGTCGAGGAGGAGGGACGCAGACAGAGACCTGGGGGCCGGGCGGGGGGCGGCGACCGCTTTGTCTGAGGACAATGGGGAGAGGGAAGGGGGCGCGGGGCGGGGCCCGAGGGGCGGGGCCTTGCTGCAGAGACCCCCGCGTGGGGCTAAGGTCGCGGACTCCCCTTTTCCCGCCTCAACCCCCGGCCCTCCATTTCTGTCCCCGGGGACCCCACCCCGCTCCCTCTCGGTAGCCTGGAGAACCCAGGTGTCCGGACCCTCGCCCCGAGCTCGCCGACCCAAGGCAGCCGCCCGTGACTCAGGCCCCTCGAGGGACTTGCAGAGGAAGCAGCAGCTGCTACAGCCGGGCCCGCCCTTCCCATCTCCTGCCGCTCCTCCCCACGCTTTCGCCTCCCCCGGCCAGCCTTTGTTACTGCGGGGTCCAGGGCCGCCACCAGGCTGTGGTGGGCCCGTGGAGAGCGGGGTGGCAGGAGAGGTACTCGGAAGCCAACGGCCATGGAAACTGGCTCCCCCACCTGAGCCGCTGCCCCACTCTTTAGCTTCAACCTGTCTCCCATGGGTCCCCTGGTCTGCAGCGAGGGAAACTGGGGGATTTGGAGGAAGGGGGACTGGGCCGCCCTGGGGAGGTGGGGGTGGGTCTGCCAGAGTGGCCGCCGCCCAGCGGTCGCCAGAGGGCGCGGTGGCTGCCCAGACTCGAGTTTGGCGTGCCCGGGCTCCGCTAGCCTTCCTTCCCAAAGTCAACCCTCTAGCTACAGAGACACTGATAGACTGCATATCATATGTAGAAAAAACAGGCTGAATTTTATTTTTCTGCTGCACGTGTTCCTCAGGACAGCAGAGAGCTCTTAGTCACCCAAAATGAAGAGTGGGAGGATCCTCTCCACTAGGTTAGAGGACAGAGCCCAGGGCCAGGGCCTAAGGAGATGGCAAGGCTAGCCAGGGGGCTGGCACTTGGAGCCTGGAAGGGCAGGCATTACCATCAAACCTGCAGACCCTAGTACCACTCCTAGAAAGGGAAGCCAGAGGAGGAGAAGGGGATCCCTGAGGTGCAGAAGGGAGTAACAGTGGGAGGGAAGTGGTCAGGCCCACCCTTTGTCCTTATAAGGAGGTTCTTAAGGTGGGGGGGGGGGGAGTCAAGTCCTAAACTGTGAGGAGACAGATAAGTTCCCCACCCCCTCTTCCTGGCTGGTAAGAAGTAGATCTTGGAGTCCAGTGGTTGAAACTCAGAATTTAGGGTATGGAGCTGGGCCCAAGGAGTGGAGGCTCAAGCAGGGGAAGGGATAGCCCCTTCAGTCCATAGATTTGGGCCTCTGGTCTGAAGCAGCCAGGGCCTGGATGTTAAAGGAGAGGAAGTGCAGGGCTTGGAACCAGGTTAGCTCCTCACTCGGCCTCACCTTCCTGGGGCCGGGAGAGCAGGTGGAGTTTTCTTTGTAACTGGGCCCGGAGGTAGCGGAGGTCTTGCTGGTCAAGTCCGTGAGCCATGCCCAGATAGAGGGTAAGGAGGAGAGCAAGGAGGAGGCGGTCAGTGCCCAGGGTGGGCACCACCCACAGCACCGTCAGCAGCTCCACACACACTGGGTGGCGCAAGTGGGAGAAGAGTCTGAGAGCCCGGGGAGACTTCAGGGCCAGAGGCTCACCCAGCCCCAGCACGTGGTAGTACACCTAGGAGGGAGAACAGCTTAGAAATGGGATCAAGCCCCTTTTGCAACTTAGTTACCTCTTTCCTCCCCTTCCAGGGAACTTTCCCTTCTGTAACTCAGGCCCAAGAACCACCCTTCTGAGACCTGGGCCCCTGATCCTCATCTCTGGCTCATGAACCTTCCCCAGTCCCAGGAAGCCCATGGTTTCAGGTTTTCGACAGAAAGCTGAGGGGAGACTATCTTATAAGAAAGGGAAGTAGGTGAGGGAGTTGAAAGAAGAGGAAGGTGGAAGAGCATGGGAGAAGGAGGAGGGAAAGCCTTAGAAGGGAAAAAGGCATTCTAGAAGGAATCATAGGTCTCAGGTAGGAATCTGGCAGCCTCACCTGTTTGAGGCCCATGAGCTCGGCGTAGTCAAAGACGAGAAGGATGCTGAAGATGAGGAGCCAGGATATGACGTGGAGCACAAAGCAGAGCAGGGGCACCCAGGTGGCCCATGGTTCAGCCCGAGCCTCCCACAACACAGGGCCTCTGGGTACAGGTTCCCAGTACCGCATCACCAGCTGGGGAACGATGAGCGGTTGGGTATCTCAGCAGCCTACCCTTGAAAGACCTAGACCCAGAGGCTGCCCCCACCCCAGGCTGGTCTGCACCTCTCTGCACCTCCACCATGAGCATCACAAACAAACAGTCACCACAGAGAGGGTGCTAGGTGGGGTCCCAAGGATGTAAGGATGACCTGTATCTACCCTGAGGACTTGCAGAACGGATGGGGTGATGACTGGATAGGTACATAAAGTAGCTTATGCCAAGCACTCACTGAGAAGACAAATGAATGCTAACTGGGAAGCCTTCTCTTGAAACCTAGGGAAGTGGTTTTGAAGAAAGGGTAGCACTGAAAAGGTGTTACCGAGGGGATCTCAAGCAGAACAACATGAACAAAGTTGCAAAGGTGAGAATGCACATATATCTGCTTGGGGAATGAGGAAAGGTACACCATTCTTGATAAGGAGGATATGTGCTGTGGAGGAATGGAAGCAGAGATGAGAGTCCTGAACACCCTCGTTCTTGTCCTAAACCCACATTTTCAGAAGGCCAAGGTCCTTGCCCCTCCAATCTAGGACACTCTTCTCACAGATAGTTTCCCTTGGGACTGAGTGGCCAAAGCCTCATACCTGCAAGGCCAGGGCAGTGCATGCGACATACAGTGACCTCTGAAGGACCCCAAAATATCGAGACATCCACGCCTTCACTGTGTCAGTTGCCATGAGGCTGTGCTGCCCCACAAATAGTAGGAGGAGACCCAGATCCCAGGCCAGGGGGACAAGGATGCTGCGGTCCTGCATGGCAGCCAGCCATCCCTGGCGGGCATCTAGGGGGAGTTGAAGAAAGGGACAAAAGATCAAGAGGGTTGTGGGAAACACCCCCAATCCTGCTCTCGTTTTGGGGCCCCAGGCCATGTCCCCGTAATGCTTCCTCTCCAGGCTTTGCCCACCTTGCTTTTCCATTCCCTGCTTCTTCCTCCTTCAGAGTGGGGAGGAGGATTCCTATATAGTCACAAAAAGCACGGCTGGAGAGGCAACCGCTGGACTGACCCTCTTCTTTCGGTACTCCAAACGCTCCCTCTTTTGAACACTCTCCGCTCCATAGTCCTCTCCTTAAAAGCACTTTCCTTTCCTCCGCTTATGGCCCTTTTCCACCCCACTCAGTCCTCACTCTCTTGCCTCTCCAAACCTCTAATCCCTGAGTTCCTGATTTAGCTCTCTGGTCTGCCCTGAAGCTTCTCCGGCTTCTCCGGCTTTCAGGCTCTAGTTCCCTCTCCCGGACTTCCCCTGTCATTTGTCTCCAGGCCCCGCCCTCCCTCCCTCTCGTCCGGCTCCACCTCCAGCCCCAGAGCTCATCCTCGATCCCTCCCGCTCACCCGGACCACCAGGCTCCGGGATCCCTCCAAGAAGTGGCCGAAGAGACGTAAAGCGCACGAACTCCACTCCAGTGCCAAAGGCCAGGATGAAAGAGGCGAGGGCAGCAGGGATCAGGAGCAGAGCTGGGGCCATGGCGACACACGGAGGGGTGGGGAAGGGGACGGGCTTGGGATTCCCGCGGCCACAGGCCCCGCCCCGCCCCCGCCCCCTCCCAGGGTCCCTGCCCAGGAAGGCGGAGCGCCCTCGCTCAAATGCCAGGGCTCGCGCCCGCAGCGCGCCCTTTTCTCTGCCCGCAGGGCGGGTCCGGGTGCTTTTACGGAGCCAGCAGTCGCTGCGTCACAGAGGGGAAAGTTAGAATTCCGAGTGACAAGAGGAAAGGGCAGCGGCTCTGCAGCCACTCGTGTGGGTTGAGTCGCAGCTCGGCTGGTTGTCTCATCTAAAATGAAGACAGTTCCTCTCTTTCAGGGTTCTTGTAGAAACCGAGAATTATGAGTCCCCTTTTCTGTAACCTTAGCCAGAAAACCTAGCCAGAGTCGGAGGTTACAAAGCCTCAGTTAACACTTCAATAGTAAACGGTGAGAGAACGGAAGATTGTTGACCTAGGCTGAGAACCCAAAGCTCTGAATCACCTATTACATCTTGTTAAAGAGTTAGTGACTATTTTACCATAAAGTAATGTTTATTCCATAACTTACTCTCTCCACTTGCCGAGGACAGAAAACTTCTCTGACACAGATTATTTCTAATAATGCCAAAGGCTGTTGATTTGTAATCATGAGAGTAACAGTGTTAAAATATTTATGAGAGAATATTTTATTTGTTGTTAAACTTTGTAGCAGGCTAATTTTATCCAAGCCTGTGATAATTCACTATGACTTCACTCTGCAAGCTTATTAGTCTGACCCCACATAGTAGTGAGAAATCACTAAGACCTTTTGTCTGAACACATTTTTCCTTCAGACCTCTTTGTAATACCTAGACTAATATATCTGAAAAGCAAAGTAAAAGTAAGGTTTTCCTCTGTCAGAATTAAAGATCATGTTGCTAAGGACCTAGTCACAGTAGCTATGACCATAGCAGGGAACTTAGACATCATTAAGTGAAATCCCTTGGCTTACAGACAGAAGAAATACAAAGAAAATTTACCAAGATGAGAACTAAGTTGCTTCTAGTCCTGTGGGCTCATGAATGAAAAAATTGCCAGGCAGCATCCCACAGCCTTTACATTCCTCCTCCCACAGGCTCAGTACTCCTACTCTCCTCTTAATCAGTGCTGTTGTAAACTGTTACCAGACATATTTTCCCCTCCAGGTGCAACCTCCACCCTGCTTTCTGCTTCAAGAGGTTGTCCTGAATGGCCTATATCAATGAAAATCACAGCTTTTATTGAGGAAGCCCTCTCTGCAAAATTGCTCCCTCCTCTCAACCTTTAGGACTTAGAGGTGGTCACAGTAGAGCTGTGGGTACTGGAGTACTGCAACATTAGGATTTCTCTACACTCTCCCAACTTCTTTGTAAATTTCCCTTTATTAAACTCTCTCCAAATTACCCTAATTCGACTGTGCCATCATTTCCTGCTAGGACCTTGAGTGACAGAGATACTTCTTCTTTGTGCTACAAGCTATAGTATTTATTGGAAGTGTAAGAAAAGGTCTCTGTTCTCCAGAAATTTAAACTGGGGCATTTCCATGTCACTAAGTAAGGGTGCACATGAGTGCTAAATGGGGATATAGAGACAGCTGGTACTGTAAGGAATCCCCTGGACCTCCAGGCCATAGACAGGTTTCACACAGTACAGGCTCTGAGTTGTGCAAGGGGACTAACATTTATTTATCCTACCATGTGCCACACCTACAATGGCTGTGCTTAATATATATTAAGACATGTTTATATGTTTAAAAGTCAGCAGTGTTAAAAGTCAGCAAAGCTTGCACTCATTTTACTACACCAAAGTTTCACAAACTAAAGTATAATTTACTTGCAGAAAAGTCACAAACTAATCACCCATTTTTTATTAAAGTGAAATTCACATAACATAAAATTAACTAAAGAGAAAAATCCAGTGACATTTAATACATTCATAATGTGTGTAATCACCATCTCTATCTAGTTCCAAAGCATTTTCATCACTCCAAAATAAAACCCTGTACCCATTAAGCAGTCACTCCCCATTTTCCCCTTCTCCCAGCTCCTGGCAACCACCACTCTACTGTCTCTATGCATTTACCTATTCCAGGTATTTCATGTAAGTAGAGTCATCCAAGGTGACTTTTTGTGTCTGGCTCCTTTCACTTAGCATAATGCTTTTGAGGTTCACCCTCAAAACACTGTAGCACGAATCAGTACTTCAACCCCTTTTATGAATAATATTCCATTGTATGGGTGTGCTGCATGTATTTATTCAACTGCTGATGGACGCTTTTCTTTTCACCTTTTGGCTCTTGTGAAGTGCTGATATGAATATTTGTGTACAAGTATTTGTTTGAACACAAGTTTTAATTCTTTTGGGTGTATGCCTACTAATGGTAATTAGTATGGTAATTTGGTAATTCTATGTCTAATTTGCTAATTCTATGTCTAATTTTTTGAGAAACTGTCAGACTACTTACCACAGCAGCTGAACCATTTTATCTTCCTACCAGCAATGTTTAATAAGGGTTCCAATTTCTCCACATCATTGTAATCAACCAACTTTTAATTTAAGGGGCACCTGGCTGGCTCAGCTGGTGGAGCGTGAGACTCTTGATCTCAGGGTTCTGAGTTCAAGCCCCACGCTGGGTACAGAGCTTACTTTAGAAATAAAAATAAAAAAATAAGTAAAATTTAAATTTCAAATACGTTAAAAAAAACTGCACTACACCATAAGGCACAGAGTGAATATTTATTTATCAGAGGTTAAACCTAAGCTCTAATTTTATAAATACTGGGAAAGCAGGCCAGAAAAGTGTAGAGATTTGCTCAAAGCTAAAGAACACTTCTATCAAGATGGAGTGAAAAAAAAAAGAAAAAATTTTAGAGTATTCCACAACTCCAACCTCAAAATTACCCACTCCAAGCATCCCTTCAAGTTCTTGATACTAAAATTGTTTCCACTATCCTTCAGAGGACGAGTAAGAATCCCAGTAAAAGAGGAAGAGAAATGGCTTCCAAACAAGAGGCAGGACACTGTGTGTGCCACAGAGCAGTGAAGACATCAGTCCTGCTAAGGGTAGCCACTTAAGATATCTGAGTATGGGATTACCCAACTCTAAGTGGCCCTTTAAGAAATCAGTGGCTCCAACTCTCCCTATCTTTTTGTTTACCCATAAGCCTTTTCAGCCCCACCCATGTTCCAAGACAAATCAGGTCAGTATACCCCAATCCTTTCTAAAGCCCTAGGTTCTTTCTTCCAAATCTTTTCTAACACTTCATTTACTGGTCTGGGAGGGTAAAGAGTACTGTGGTGACGTTTTCAGGAGGATGACATTTCCAAAGTGGAGAGGATGAAGGCCTCTGGCTTGGCCTCCTGCTTCAGCACTCCTGTCAGCAGGAACTCAGGTGAGAGGATGGGCAGGCCAACCCGAAATGGAATAGAGCATCGAGCGAAGTCCTGGGAGCATGTAATCACAACTCTCCGTGGCTGGGGACAGACAGAGAGCAAAGACAAGGTTAGGGGTGAAAAAGAATCCTAGAAATAGGTTCAGAACCCACTAATCAGTTTCAGCATCACTAAAATAGACCTCCTGATATGAAGCATACTTGTCAGAAGTACTCTTGCCAGAAAAGCCGACCCTGAATTTATTCAAGCTTTTAGAATTAACTATAGTTTACAAGGAATGTAAAAGAAGAACAAGATAAATCGCACAGTAAAGGAGCAAACAGAAAAACCCAGACTGAGACATTCTAAAGAACAACTGACCTAGTTTCTGTAGGAAGTCAATGGAATAAAAAAAAAACGGCTGGGTGGGTTGGGGGAGATCTTTTCTAGAGTAAGTGAAAATTAAGAGATACGCAATTGTGGCAATACATGGATCTCGTTTGAATCCTGACTTGAACCGTAAAGAGACATTTTTGGCCAACTGGAGAAATCTGTCTAATGGAGTGTAAGAAAATGACCAAGAAACTATCGTTAATTTTGTTATGGATCAATAATGGCATTTATGTAAAAAAAAAAAAAAAGTACACAATTTCTTAGAGAAGTATATTTTAAGTATGTAGGGGGAAAAATATGATGTTTGCAGTTTCCTTTAAAATAGTTCAGCAAAGAAAAAGAAAAAAAGCAATAAATGAGGAAAATGTAGCAAAGTCTAAACTACCTTGTTAAATCTGAATGACTGGGACGCCTGGGTGGCTCAGGTGGTTAAGCGACTGCCTTCGGCTCGGGTCATGATCTCAGGGTCCTGGGATCGAACCCCGCGTCGGGCTCCCTGCTTGGCGGGAAGCCTGCTTCTCCCTCTCCCACTCCCCCTGCTTGTGTTCCCTCTCTCGCTGTCTCTCTCTCTGTCAAATAAATAAAATCTTTAAAAAAAAATAAAATAAAAAAAAATAAATCTGAATGACTGATATATGGAGGTTCGTTGATAATAGAGATTCTCTCTCCCTTTGTGGATATTTGAAAAATTTTTAAATACAAAATGAAAATAAATCCACTCAGAATCAGCAGACTTCTTCATTCCTATCCCTTTACACACTACAAAGCTTCCCCTCACCCTCTCACTACTCCCATGTTCCCATCCATACCTCTTTGGTTCTCCAACCTTTTCCCATTCCAGCCACCTCTTTAAGTGCCACCTCACCAGATCCAAAACATACTACCCATACCTTATAGGACCGGGGCATGCTGGGTAGAACAGTGCCTCCACAGCAGCTGATGATCTCTCCCATCTGAGGTGGCGGTGGCTGGACTCCTGGGGTCACGTGGATT